ATGTTGTTCTTTTCTCTGTCTGGTGTTATCTTAAAATCTACCTCCTTTCTTCCTGGGCCTTTTGTAAAGCAACATGCAGATTAATCAGGTGTCAAAATTGAGGGCTGCAGGGACCCCAGGCTGTGAAGAAAGAAGGAAAAATGGAGACTTGCAGTTTTCTCTCCCTCCTCTCTCTCTCTCTCTCTCTCTCTCTCTCTCTCTCTCTCTCTTACACTTGCTTGTTTGAGGATACAGAGCTGTGAGAATTTCTGCTCTGAGGTACATAGTGGTCCAGAAAAAAAGGGGATAGACCTGTCTTATTTTATCAACAAACGGATTAGGGTGTCGGAATGAAGGGCTGTCTCTGTCTCTGTGTGTGCGACTGTGTATCTCTCCCTCTCAGTTTTCTCCCACTCTCACCTACTTTTTAGCTTGTTCATTTGGAGATACAGTGCTGTAAGAATTTCTGCTTTGAGCGACACAGTGGTCCAGAAAAAAGGGGTATAACCGTCTTCATTTAGCAGCATTAGGATTAATCGGGTGTCAGAATTGTTAGTCACAAATGCTTGCAGTCATATACTTATGTTTCTCTAGCTATGAATTATTCTGTTTCTAAAATAATTCCCTTTGATTCATTTCGCTTTCTAAACATGTTATCTGTAATCTCACTTCTGAAAATAGGCAAGTGCATCTCAAGCTAGGTGTAAAGGACAAGATATGTTTACATGATCACTCATTAATGGTTTCATTTTCTTTCTTTTGTCTCTTTTATTCTACAGCTCTGCGAAAGCTCAGCATTCATTCAAGATGTTTCACACACCAACACCCGTTCGGCAATCAAAGGTAAGTCCATTTAGATAAACAAAAAAAAACTTATTTGAACAAAGTTCTGCAATTCAAGTTTGAAAGCTAGAATCTCTCTTGTTTCAGTACAGTGCATCCCAGAAGAAAAAAAAACCGAGAATGATCAATTTTTTATCATAACTTAATCACAATTATAATTAATATGTGTCATTTATTTATTATAATTGTGATTATTAAAGTTATGATAAAACATTGATAATTCTTGGTTTCGTTTTTTCTGAGACGCACTGTATAATCTTACTTTTATATTGGTATCATTGAAAATCCTGTTTATTCCCCTTTATGGTGATGATGCCCAATTTGTAATGATTTTTTAATCATGGAATGTGCAGCTCATCTGAATATGTGGTCAAGTCAAAAGTGAAATGTTGCAAAATGCATTCTTATTCCTTCAAAACACAATCCACTTTCCAAGCAAATGAAAACTTCCCTACTGGTAATAACAAATGCATTTTGCAATATTTCATTAATGACTTGGCCCATAATCACTTGTACTGCACATCACATGATTACATAATCATTAAAAATGGGTTATCGTTGTAAAGGGAAATTGAGAGGCTTTTCAATAATACCAACATCAAGTATGATACCACAGTAACAAGAGAGATAGAAAAACTCAAACTTGAATTGCAGAACTTTTTTAGGGGTTCATATGTTCTTTAAAGAACAAAGAAGAATGGGCATCCATGTATATTAATCAAATCAAATATAGTAGCAGTGAGAGCACTTAAAGGTAAAGACCGGTTTTGGAAACGTCTCCCCTCTCAAAAGATGAAATGGAAGCTCTGATTACCAACCATGTGAAAGAATATGTTTTGATTAATACGTGATGATAACAACTTTGCCGAGAAACCGCCTACTAATTGATATATTTGGTAAATTGTTATATCTATTTGGATGTGACAGATATCGCGCACGTGTCACATGGTCCCATATACATCTTTCTGTGTACAGTGCTTGTAACTTTACCAAGATTTGGCCAAATTTCTTATCATTTTGATGATTCCAGAACCTTGCAGTACATTACTTATATGCTAGATGATCAACCTTTTCTGATCGATTCCACACCGTTTCTTTCACAATGCAATCGCATGACCATAACTGCCTTTTATCTTTAATAACAGATAAGTAAAATCATAGTTCAATTGCACTTTTCAGTAGGCGTGATTCCGCCTGTCACCTCATCTCAATCACTACCAGACCATCTTTTCCGACGTTCTGAAAAGCGGCGCAAACATGGCTTTATCGCTTTCCAACAAACACGCTTAAGTCATGTCAACAGAGCGCGAACTGGGCAAATACCGCTGAAAATGCTCCAAAAATTGATACATTTATGGTGAATTCAGTCTTGCTTGGAGTACATATTTGTATAAATCGAGTGGTGAATGTCACTTTTATTGTGTGGTGCTGGTACTGGTGGAAGTCTCGGCTTTGTAGGGGAAGTGAGCGTGAAGGGCTATTCAGTCTTGTTTTTTCATGGTCTGGCTTTTTGTCTTCTCTTTCTTTGTGATTTTGAAAGGAGACGAATAGGTATGGTACACATGCATGAGATTCTGTGTGAACTTGTTGCTTTCATGTGACTCACAGTATGTTTCACACACATCGGGATAGGACTTGGTTACACTTTTAAAGATGCTCTGTTTCATTTTCTATTTAA